TATATATACATATATATATATGATTGCACCTAAACTCAGAGACACAGACATTAAAATCAGGTCTGTTTCATTTTTTCACAAAGTTTTAGTACTCATATTGGATTTAATCTGTTACGTTTTATGCAGCAACAAGAAAACTTTAAAACAACTAATCCAGTCAGTGGAAACCTTTAAAAGCATCAATACATGCTTTTAGATTGTGATCCTCTGATGTAATGCTCAGTCTAACAAACTGCTGAACCAGTGATAACATTTGCCAATTAACCACATTAAAATGCCAGCACCAATCAAATCATAGGTGTATAATAAAAAGTCCTTCAGGGATCTTCTCAGCAGTGGTTCTAGCCTGAGGTGAGTCATGAGCTGCAGGCGGATTACGAATGAACATATTGTCTTACAACAGCTCTTATTTCCTGGTTTAGTCACATTTCTTCAACTAAATCCAAAAAAAAAAACCTTCTTTTTTATTTGTCTTCTTCCTCTTTTTTGCTTTCCCCTCCGGTCGCCCATGTTTCGTGAGTCACTCTTATTTGCCATTTTAGTGTTTTCTATATAAAGGCATCCAGCAGGTTTTGGCTCTGAGTTTTATGACTTGTCATAAAAAGAAAAAAAAAACAGAAGAAAGAAATAAAAAAAGAGGTCAGACATTTCAGAGGAAGAAAAACCTAATATTTTTGCCTCTTTGGAGCTGAAGACATTAAAGRAGCACATCTGCCTTCTTCTGATGAGCCCCCTTTTTCTTCTTTTGCCTATTTCTTTCAGTTAATTTAATAATTCYTTTTTAAAATCCTACGTTTAACTTTTAGAGTTTTGCACGGACAAGCTCCATCTTTTATCTCCGACTTGGTTCAGTTCCACACACCACCTCGCAGGTTAAGATCATCGGGTCAGAGGTTGCTGGGGGTGGTACCCCACACCTGTTTTAAATTTCACTGSGACTGGTTGTTCCTATTAACCCCTTCCTGGTTCTGTTTCAAACTCCAATCACTGTAACTATGGCTGCACGATATTAGTAAATATTGCAATGACAATATCAGGTGTGATGTACGTTTTCTTTGCTTTCATCCCTTTCTGCTGTGACCTTTCGCATTTTTGGCAATGCTMTTTGTGTCTGGGTTGAGATTTGCTGCCGTGAGACTTATCTTCTGACTAAATATTGCATTCTCATGAAAAAAAATACAACTCTTCAAACACATTAGTTTTTTGCGATATGAATATTGCGCACACTGATATTGATGACAATAAATTTGCGATCTATTGTGCAGCCCTAATTATAAYGGTCAGTCTGAGCAGAAAAACAAAAATCTATACCTAAAATGTCACGTAAAAATCAATARGATGAACCTGGGGAATTAAAAAAAACGAGACCTGCGTGACAAACTAACTACAATCAAATGAAACCRGTCATTTTGGGACAGAATTAAAACGTTTTCTTCAGACACACTCAGTAAACTCGTGTCGTGACCTGTGCAGCTTGTATTCCTCTTTCCAAAACCCCCATAAAATATTACTGCAGCTGGAAACAACACATCCTGGGTTTACGAGACTGCAGTGGCTCTGACTGTGTGTGTGTGAGTTTGTGTGTTTGTGTGTGTGTGTTTGTGTGTGTGGGTGGGTAAAATCATGCAGGGTTGCAGCCAGGCCACAGAGAGGGTGGTTTGATTGACCACAGTGTCGTGAGTTCACATGAAGCTCTCTGGGAGTAAAGTCAGATAATGCCGTAAAAAGCTGCTGCCACTCATTTATTTTGCTAAACGTAAATCACAGAAAGCAACACAAACGCTCTAATATTTTTTATTTTATTATTTTTTTTACTATTATGCAACATGCATTAAACTCCTCTGTATCAGAACTGTGGCAACATTACTGCTCACCTCCAAAAGGTAAAAGCAGATGTTTTTTTTTGTCTGTTAGCAAAATATCTCATGAACCACGGCACTGATTTAAGTGAAACTAGCAGATAGGACTCATCGCATGTAAATCTAGAACTGTTTAACTTTTGGAGTTAACCCCATCCAAGATGGCTGCCTGATCTTTAAAAGTMCAAAAATGAATATAACTCAAACATTTTGACAAATAATGAGCTAAAATTTGACRTGGTAGTAGCTGACACTCATTCCCAACACATATTCTGAGAACTAACTGATTGCACAACATCTGTTGTCAAAACTTTGCAATCAATTATTGGAATCAACTGTACCTGTCTGTTAGCAAAATATCTCATGAACCACAGGAAAGATTTTAATACAACTTTTAGGACATAAACAATGAATGTAAATCTACAAATGATTAACTTCTGGAGTCACCCCAAAATAAAATAGCCTCCACAGCTTATCATAAATAACCGACTCCAAATTTACTACAGCTCAGGCAGTTTTGCATTTATTGGGCTAAAATGTGGTGTGGTAGTAGATGAGACTCATTCCCAACACTGAGTGTGACCCTCCCACAATAATGCATGAGATTGTGCCTAACTTTATTTTCAGGGTTTCAAGCAGCTGTTACTTCTCAGATGTTAAAACTTTAGGATAAAATGTGACAAATAACTGTTTTGTGAATTTAAACCTGCTCTAATGTAAAAATGAGTTTAAGTAAATGATTTAAAATAATCTTTGCACCATAAAAGGAAGTCAAATTGTTGCGCCGACTTGTTTCAGGTGAATCTTCCAAATTAAACTGACTAAAGCGTGGAAGCTCATCTTAGCTGTGTTGCTTTTTAAAAATATTTTTATTATTTTCTTGAAGGGGAAAAGCAACAATAATTATGGGAGGAAACATAGACAGGCTGAACTCTGTCTGAGAGACAACAAGGGAGGGGTTTTCTCTTAACTATCTGGCATCGGACGGCGTGTTTGATTGCATGTGTGCGTGTAAAGGCAGTGTATTTAAAGAACATTGGAAACACATGTCTGGAGCTTGATAAAGAATATTTTAGGCGCTGGGTAATTTGGCATGATCTGACACACAAGAAGACTCCCTTTGATGGAGGAGGTTTGACTCTGAGAAAGCAGCTTACGTGCATTTAGTGTTACTGCCAGAGATACGGCAGGAACTGAGCTATTTTGGTCGAACCTTTTAAATAACGTGATCAGGTAGGGCTCGTGTGTCTCAGCTATGTTGGCTCAGTAAAACCAACTGAGTTGTGATGTATCATATTTGCTATGCAGGATTCTGTGACCTATATTTTATCAACGTGGTCAATATTTTCCTCAAAAACCTGTTGATCAAAATCTTAAAACCAGTCAAAAAAGTGCAAGAATTTGCATTTTGCACCACTGGATCTTAAGAAGGTTCTAAGTAGAGCTTCACAATGTTAAAAGAAGAAATCAGTGCAAGAGACAAGAACTTTTGAGCAGGGAATTTTCTGAAAACTGCATTTACACTCAAACATGATTTTTTTCAGCTGATCAAAAGTTTAATACCATAGTCTTTAAAAGCCAAAAGCTGTGCAAAAATCTGGATTCCATGTCATTTTCTGTCAAGTCTTTACACTGTCAAGACCTCCTGATGGCAAAAGYAAAAAAGCTCACTGACTTTGAACGTGGTAGGATTGTTGAGCTGCATAAGCAAGGCCTCTCACAACGTGCCATCGCTGCTGAAGTTGGACGCTGTAAGACAGTCATTTTGCATTTTTTTTAAATGATCCTGAGGGTTATGGAACAAAAAAGTCAAGTGGTAGACCCAAAAAAACTTCCCCAGCTCTGAGCTGCAAGATCCGATTGGCTGTCCGTCAAGACACGGGACGATCCTCTACCCAAATTAAGGCCATTACTGGTGCTGACTGCAGCCCAATAACCATCAGACGGCATCTGTGAGAGAAGGGCTTCAGAAACAAAAAACGTCTTCAAAGGCCACGTCTTCTTCAACGCCACAAAATTGCCCATTTGGACTTTGCAAGGGTGCACCAAACATGGGACATTGAAAGGTGGAAGAAAGTTGTATTCTCTGATGAGAAAAAATTTAACCTTGATGGTCCTGATGGCTTCCAACGTTACTGGCAAGGAGACCCCACCTGAGATGTTTTCTACACGGCACAGTGGTGGGGGCGCCATCATGATTTGGGGTGCGTTTTCCTTCAATGGAACAATGGAGCT